CCCAGGTTTTGACCCCCTCTAAGGATCTCACTGATTGGCATATCAAAGACAGCCCAATCCGACACCTAGTGTAGTATCATAATCGAGTCTAGGGGTTAGGTGTAACATTCCAGTTTTGCCCATCTATCTCCAAGGTCCAGGGCAATACTGGAATTCTGGTCCGGTTCAGAATTTCAAGAAAACCCATACTGCATTTACCTCAGGTCTCACCCTGGCAGCTGAGACGGACCACCCCAACCAACTTGGCGACACATCAGTGTCAACCTTGGCAGGATAAATCTCCCCTGGTCTATCCAACGGCTGTGAAGATTCTAAACTAACACGAGTCTCATATGTGTCCAGTTTAAGGGTATTACATAGAAACACACCAAAATAACATGAATCAAATATGTACTTTATTAATTTACATTAAATGTCATAATGTACATCATTCTGATTGGAGCTAAGGGCATACACTATCTAACACTTTCATTTTAAATTTTGAACCATCAAGTTCCAGCTGTCCTGATCTATTGACAAGGGGCCTGATTTCCTCCTTTTCCTTATTAGACTTACCCTTTAGGGGGTGTTCTTTTTCTGGATTTTGAGAGGGGGGAAAGTTGGTCAATGGGATTTTGATTTCCATTGACCAAAAACCCATGTTCTTTTTTCAGATTTATGTGGAGTTTATTTTCCTGGGTATCACTTACCTGGCAGCTAAATAACTTTCCCATCTTGGGGGAAAGTTGCCAACACTTGAAAGGAACAAAAATGTCCCTTGTAATAATGGATTTTTATGGATAAAATGGTCAATGTCTTATTTACATGGGAAATAAAATAACATGGGTAAATGCACTTACCCGGGTAAATCTTTCCTAGGAAACAATTACCTGGTAAGTGCATTTACCCGGGTAAGTAACTTACCGAAATGCGAACAGGGCCTTAAGGTAACCAACTACAGGCCTCTATTCTGCTCCTTATTTCCTTCAATGCCTCAGCATAGGACCTACCACCAACCTGTGTATATCCTGTACCTTGTTACTTTTCTTTCAAGGTTTCCTTCTCAAGGAATTCCTCTTGCGTGAAAGTTTCTAAGGAGTCAGGAGCCTTCCCCTGTTTGCCACGTAGCCAGTCTCTTTCTACCCATTTGTCTTCCCTTCTTCGAGCTTCAACCCAGAGAGCAGCTTGAATGGCTGCCATTAGCCATACTGAGAAAAACACACCACCATCGGCCACTCTAATCTTCTTGGGAATTTCTTCAGGGCAAATGCAACTGAGACTTGTAGCTGCAGAATGTAGATCCTTGACAAAGAATCCATCTAAGTGTGCCTTGCACAGGACAGCAATTGATTCAAACACTTCATCCCTCCAAAGATGAAAAGGCAGACCCAACAGACGAACCATAATTGAGTCTTCTACAAAAATTTCCTTTGCATTAGCCGAAGGAGACCAGCTATAAACTGTAACTGCACCACACTCTATCTGGAAACAGATTGCCTCAATCTCTAGCTCAACATCTGATACCTCCAACAGTGCTTTACAACTCTCAAATGGAGTTAAAATAGCTGTACTTCTCACTCTCAAATTTTTTACCACCTCCTCTGCTATCCTTTTCCAATCCCATGGTGGCCTACTTATTTTCACAACTAGCCACTTTTCCCAATCCTCCGTTGAAGCATTGACCACCATCCTCCTTTCGCAGTAACCTCCCCCTACTGCCAGGTTCCCTGTTGCCTCCTTTGTATTCAGTAGATGCTTCTCTTCTGACTTCAGCACTGCTGGAGCTTGTGAACCACTTGCCAATGTTCGGAATTCTTTTAGGGTGTCTGAAATCTCCTTCCACCCCTCACCTTTCCTTCCGGGAAGCACACCATCTGCTTCTTCCCTGAGCCAAAATATTCCACCAACGCTAGGAATCTGCCTTTGATATTTGTTCTCCTTTCTGCCACATACCTCCTGTTTCCTTCTACTATAGAATCTTTACAATCTTCCATTGTTTCTTCATTGCTTTGTCCAGAAACTCCCCAAGCCAACCCAACACTTCCTCACCTACCAGAAAGACCATAGTAAACATCATTCCTCTGATTATCAGAGCTGTTTTCCCCTGCACCTTACAGCTCTCAAACAAAAACTGCTTTGCCTCAGCTTTGATTACTCTTCTCCACTTTGCTTCGTTCACAAAACTACTCTTCTCCATTCTGCCTCGTCATTGGTCCTAAGCTACTTGAAGAAGAACAAAAAATTGAACTTAATTTTACACAAAGTAATCCATGTGAAGCCTAATAGGGCCATATAAAACAAAATAGCACAAGTTAGAGAACATGACAAATAAACAATAAAAGTTAGCTTAATGTCAAACAACACTTAGAAGCCCAGAAACTGCTACAAACTCAATGAGTTTGAACTATAACATGGTTAGGTTTGGGCAATAGATCCCCTAAAAACTGAAGAAAACCAAGCCAAGTTTGACCAGCTTTCTGTCTTTCTGAAACTAGCTTCAGCAATCTTCCCCAAAGGATCCTTTCCCACCATCCAGTCAAATTGATTTTGTGATATTAGTACTCTTTGATCTCTCCTCTGACTAACTTTTGTCCTGATCAGATGGTTAAGAACTATTCAGTTATTGTACAGATGGATTGGCTGCTAGCATGTGTGTTTATTTTTAGAATCTGACCTTCTTTGAATTTTGAGGAGGATTTTGTTTTTCGTTTTTCTCTTATTTTATTCCTCAAAGCATTGGTGTCTTGATTTACATCAACGAGGACAACTAAATTAGCAGAAAATAGTTATTTTGGCTAAGCAAACATCTGTGATTTGTATTTTGGCCATTACTTTCTCAAGCATTTGTTAATCATGTGATCTTGAGCTCATTGTCTAGTTAATTCAAAATTCTATCTCAACCAAATCAAGAAGGTTAAACACTTCTTAATGTGGAGTAACTAAATCGACCTTTAGACTTCAGCATTTTAATGAAAATAGCTAATGCACATGCTTCTGTTAAATTAAATTCTTGCTTGATGTCTGATGGGTTTAATTCTTGTGCAGTACTGCTGGTCATGAGGCATCAGGGACTGGGAGCATGAAGTTTTTGATGAATGGGTGTTTACTTTTGGCTACAGCAGATGGCTCTACAGTTGAAATTATTGAGGAAATAGGGGAAGATAACATGGTAAGCTCCATATCATCTAAAATATTCAAGGTCTTCAATAAATTGGTAATTGATCATCCTCTAAATAGATCTTTTGAATTTTCCATCCTTCATTTGTTTCCTACATGTCTTATTGAAGTATTATCTGCAAGTTAGTGCTTCATGAAAATCAGTCCAGGAAGATGTACTAATCCATTTTTGTATGAGAATATGTCATTTTGATACAAGTCATGCAATTTTGTCCCATTAACAAAATTCAGCATTTTTAAAGGGTAAATTACTGGGACCCCCACTGTACTTTGCGCTTGAGGATGAGAAACTTAACCCCCTATACTTTTTTTTTTTTGTGACACTTGCCTATTGTACTTTCATATCATGAAAAAAAAAAAGCCCTTTCATCACAATGATTTTGGACCATTGAACTCATGCCTTGAGATAAGACTAATTTAGGCTATGAAAATGGCAATATATAGTAGATTTGCTTTAATCTCAATCATCCAAATTATGTACTAAGATACAACTAATCTTGGTGATCCAAGAAATTATACGAAATCAAAACAAAAAATCTAGGCTATCAAAAATGGTTTCCTAGAAAATAAATAATTTTGTCCATCCAAACAATGTACCAAGATTGCAACTAATCTCATTCAAGTAAAGGTCCAAATTTTCTAAAAAAAAATCTAAGACAAATAAAGTGATGTACGAAATAACACCTAAAATCTGGGCCATCAGAATAACCTCCTAAGATCATTCAATTCATTCAAACCATCCAAATGGTTTGTCGATATTTCTTTTAACCCATTGATCTTAGGAGACCACTTTAGAGGCTTAGACCTGTTAATTTGGTACCTCTTTTGGATGGGCTAAGTTAGTTAGAATCTTTGTACATGATTTACATGATTTGGGTGGCCGAGATTAATGACTGATCATAGGAGTCCATTTTGATGGTCCAAATCTTTGGCACATTTTGCACATCACTTTATTTAACATAGATTTTTTACAAATTTTGGTGTTTTAATTGACTGAGGTTAGTTGAAATCTTTGTACACTGCTTGGATGGCCAAGATTAATGGATCTAAGCCACTAAAGTGGTCTCCTAACATCATGGGATTAATCTCAACCATCCAAGTGATACCAGGATTTTGATCAAACTAGACCATCCAAATATTGTACCAAGTCAGCCCAAAAATCAAGGCCATCCCAGGTGATGTGCCAAAATTAAACTAAAGATTTGGTTTGTCAAAGTGGTATCCATAAATAAATCAATAGATCTGATCCATCTAAGTGATGTGTGATAGTTTTCATATGGTAGAATATATCATCTCTACCATCAACCAACGTTAGACATCATCAAGTCTCCATTTTTGCTTGAAAAGCATGAAATAACATATTGGCAATTAGGTAATCTTTCCTTCACTGTTAACACTGTCAGGGGGTTCAACATGATATGAAAGTACAAGGTGCTAAGTGGTGCAAAAAGTAGTACCGAGGTCCAAGTGTCACACACCCCAAAGTCCCAGTTATCTGGGGACTTGGGAGGCTTGGGAGGCATAGACTGGGTATGGTCTTAACATTTGGCATTTTTCTGCACAAAGTGGATGCCCTCCAACTTGAACCTGGGTTCTCACACTTGCCAGCCCGGGATTGCACTATTACACCAAGTAATGCCTTAAAAAAGCAAGGTAGATTCTAAATTATGTACTCTTGGAAATGCGTGAGTTAATTCCACTGATTTCTATGACTGATGATTCTCATCAATCTTCTGGATATATGTCCTAGGAAAAATGACTTTGACTAACTTATTCAACATAATTTCCTCCCATTACATTACTGGTCCCACAATTTTCTAGTTAATTCTTATTGTTTCAGATTATCTGTATTTTCACTGCACCAAAATATCTAGTCTAATTGTCTAAAACCATTCTGAAGCTAGCAATTCACCTAGTATTTCTTTGTTTCCTATTTTTATTGCTTACGATTTTTATGATTTTTTTGGTTCAAAAGTTCTTGTGATTATATTTTATCTCTTAGGAATAAATAATGATAATTTCTTTTTCTTTGTTTAGTTTATATTTGGTGCAAAAGTGCATGAAGTGTCAGCTTTACGTGAAAAAGGACATGCCGATAAGGTACCTCTTCAATTTGCACGTGTTGTCAGGTAAGTTTTTTTTTATGTATTTTCCTTGTTCGTTCTTTCATTCCAGTGTATATATACCATTCATTGCCAGATATAAATTTTAAATTTGTCTTCTTTTTTTTTTATAAGTAAAAATAAAAATTTTTATTAAAGAGAAAAAGAAGTTACAGCAGGAGGTGACAAGACATCACCCGAATACAAAGACCAAAATTCAGATTAGAGAACATTCTCCACAATACATATCTAAAAATCCAGGAATTCTCCTAATCTAATGACGAAGTCTTCTCTTTCTGCTTGGCTGAACTCTGGAAGAATCAGCAACCAATCTACCACTGATCTGCCCACAGCAGCAACGATCTTGTCCATGTTGAAAGCTTTATCTTCGAATATCCTTCTGTTCATCTCCTTCCAAATGTTCCAACAGATTGCAAATAGGATACATCTCCATAGCAAATTTACCTTCTTGCTCCCACTCAGCCTGGGCCAAGTAGAAAAGATTTCTGCTGTTAAAGTTGGGTGAAAGTCTGAAGCCCCAAACATGGATCTGAATACTTTCCATAAGAAGCTTGAGAACTTTACAAGATATGAATAGGTGAGTAGCACCCTCTTCCTGCCCCTCACACAGACAACATCTATTAGCCATGCTAAAACCTCTAGATTTCAGATGATCAACTGTCAATACACTGTCCATGGCTACCAGCCAGGCCAAAGCCTCAACTCTTGGGGGGACTGGGTTTTCCCAAATGCCTTTAATATGACTTGAGGCTGAGAGCCATATAGCATGGCTTAACTGCATAGTTGTCAAGGCATTGCCTAGGCGACTAGGCGCCCTTGGTTGGGCGCCTCGCCCAAATGCCTTAACTTTTAGCAACTAGGTGCCCACCTAGGCGACAAAAATGACAAGGCGGGCACCTTTTATAATATCATTTATATTGTTGCATCTTATTAATGTATGTGTTAGTACATTTTATTATATGCTATATATATCAATTATATTTTGTTTTAGTGTTTTACTATTGAAATTTAAAAGATCAAAGGGTTTTGAGAAGAGAAAAAGAAAGAGAAAGAAATGAAATGAAAGGAGAAAGTAACAATAGAATAATAAGTTCTTTTTTCTATTCTCTCTCTAATTAAATAAAACAGAAACTCAATCCTTGTTTTTTTTTCTATTTTACTTTCCATCTTGAATATTTATCATATAAAGTTAATAACCTTCTTTAGCTGCTAATTAATATGAAATTGCTCTGTTAAATACTTATTATAGTAGTATTATTTTTGAAAATAATGAAATTAATATATGTAAAAGATTTTAATCTTTTAGGTGTGATGATTTGCCACATGTTTAGAGGAAATTTAATGTTCTTAATAAAGAGAATTGCTATTTTTCAATTAACATACATGCTGAATGGTATATAAAACTAGGAAGCTAGCCAAAAGTTAGTTTTTCATATTATAAAATTTTTATCACCTAGGCGACCAGGCGACTAGGCGCCTGGTCTGAGACCAAAAGAGAGTGAGGAATATACCTGATACAAAGTAACAGTAACTCCCAACATAGGTGTTCACGCCCAAAGAGAAGACCAAAACCCGCTTCCACTGAAGATGACACAGTGTAGTGAAGCAGGATCAGTAGGATGGTTCCTCAGCAAGAACTTGAATTCTTCAGCAAGAATCGAGCAAGGGCTGGTGAGCACGACTTCATATTGTTTCTTCTACCAAGAAACAATATCAAGAACCTTTCTTGATCAGATCCACAAGTGGAGATCGAATTGGGTAGGGGCGGCAAGAATTGGGGAAGAATTTTGCAATTTGTTGTTGTGAAAATCTGAGGAATTCGCCCCCTATTTATAGCCTTCTTGGATCAGCCTCCTAATCTAATTAGGAGAGAGTTTCCTAATCCAAATCTTATATTTGGATCTGGACTCTTAAATGGATACAACTTATCTTATCCTTTAGCTAATCCTAATCAG